ACTTGTACTTTTTATTTATAGTCTATAATTGTGTATCAGAGCCATGAACACTTTAAATAATTAAATAATACTCTATGTAAACAACACCTGCATTACATTTGAACAAATCAAAATGTAAGTAGGCTCATGAACACCTATAAACATTTAATAACTGTGCATCAGTGCCATGAACACTTAATAACTCTGTATCAGACTAATGTAAATTGAACAATCTGTTCCTTTTGTACTGCTGTATTTGCACTATGTGGTATCCCCACAGTCACATTGTTGCTAATGTACTGTAAGTTACATTTGTAAATTCTCCATTTATGCTGTTTGCTATGTATTTTTACAGTGCTTTTCATAAAGCAAAGCAGTTTACATGAGTGTTTTATTACATTAATTTCTCACCAATGATATACATTCGCAATTTCGCATACACAGATCAATTTTTAATACAAAGTAGTCTGTTAATATGCATAACTGACACCGACAGTAGCAAAAAGTCTGTGAATAGATACATTTTTGATTTGCCTCGGGATTTGCCTTTGTTTTGTTTTGTCAATTTGTGCTGGCCATGTATGGTCAAAAATGGTTTAAGAAAACAACAACAGCGTGAGTTAAGTAGCGAGAAACAACTGGGTTACAGTGTCGCCATGTTTACTGTGACATTACGAGTGGAAACCGAGGTTAATGTGGATATTACGCAATTGATTGGCTAGTCCCAGCTCCTTTTTTTATTGAGCAATATCAATTTACAAAAATAAATAGGGAATAATCGAATGCCAATTACAAATACACTTTTTCTAAAAATATCTCCATCCTAAATGTCCATGTATACAATCTGAATAAGGCTGTATTGTAGAAGGCATATAGGTTTATTTTCGTTTTGTTGCAATATTTAGGCTATTTTCAACTGCGTATGTGTATAAATAAAAATGAAAAACATATTAAGAAAACACAATTTATTGAGTCAGCATGATAAAGCTGTCGAAAGGGCTTACGTCTTCTGTGCGCTCAAGTTCGGTTTCAAAGTCGCGCAGTGTGCGTCTTATAATTAAGCAACGCGGTCGCCTCCTTCTAGTCTTGTCGTTTTATAATGCTGCATGGAAGGAAAAAAATAAAAAATAAATGAGGGTGGGTCACCCTTCAGATTTTTTTTTTTTTTAGTGGAGTAGATTATGGGAGTTCCTGAAGCCAAATACCTTATCTAATCTCTAGTGCTGTGTTGAAAAAATGGATTCACCAATTCTGAATCGATTTTCATATTAATTTCTAAAGATCGATCTGTAGCACAGAGAATCGATTTATTAATAGGCCTACATTTTCCCAAATTCCCCGTGAACTTTAACTTGCCGGGATCGTGATCCCTATGTGCGCATTGAAAGCTTTCACTCAGCACGTACATTGTTACGACAATGGACTTTGATTCATTAAACTGTTCATTCAACGAACACGTTCAAAAAAGCAGATTCATTAAAATAGATGTAATGAAACAATTTCAATGTGTTAATTTTTAACTTTGAGTTCCACTTAAGGCTCAGCTGAGCAGCAATACGTCGTAAGGGCAAATAGCATTAATTCAATGCGTGACTTACTGATTTTATTTCCCCGCGGTTTCCTCGTGTTGTGGGATGCTGATCAGCGCTGCTGCTGACGCGCATTTATGGTAAATACTTGTAACGTGAACGTTAAAAGGATGATTCGACAACTATTTCGCGTTTCTTTGACACGGCACAGCAAGCTTTCCACGAATACGACTTCAGAGACAGACGCAGGTAATCGCACGCGCTCTGCCGATCTCTCTCATTCACTCTCTGTGCGAAGCCTAGGCTACACATCACCACGATCGTTATCATTATGAATTTGTCTAACATTCAATACACATGCATGAAGTTCTAAACAAGAAGGGTATAGCATTATAAAAAACGTTAATATCACGGTTCCTGCGGTTGAAATCCTCCTGCTATAGCCTATACCTCTGCGTCCTCTGTCGTCTACACCAGTGCAAGTTAGTGAAAGCAGTTGTATCAACACGGAAGGAGTATTGTTCTTTACAACAATCAATAGGCTACTACATTAATTTGCAGTTGAATGTCTATAATAAATTATTACAGCACTGTAGTTATGCAACATATTGATACTATTATTATTAATAATAGCTAGTATCAATATGTTGCATAACTACAGACCTGTAATTCAGGAAACAGGTGGGAAAAAATGCTTTTTTAAAATACAAATACCTAAATTTCGAAGATCGGATCAGATCGGATCGAATCGAATAATGATAATCGATTCAAGATCTTGAGAATCTGAACTTGAGAATTTGAATCGAAACACAGCACTACTAATCTCTATGCAAAAATTAATGATGTGAAAGAGTGAGAGTCCAAATAAAAATGAGCACAAATCCGTCTATGCGTGCATCTCTCAGAAATCAGAGCTTGGCAAGTAATATCAACTTAAATACATCCAAAACTGGCCCGCTAGCAATAATATCTGGCCCGCGCCTTAGACTGAAAAGCCCTGAAAGAAATTAAAGGGCGGGGTACCCGGGGTAGGTTTACAAATAGTTGTTGGAAACATTTGGGATATTGTAAGTAACCAATTTAACAAAATATATTACATTGCCTTTGTGATTTGGGGATATTTTAATGCAAAAATGTTACAAATTTTATATCTAATTTTGTTGTATTTTGCCCTTTACTTGTGTGAATGTTTATTGTGTTTCATTTTTAAAGTAACATTGATGTACAAATTTTAACTGTAATGCAAAATGGTTATTAAAATATTTGATTTATTTTAAAATTGTGAGATTTATATTTATTTATAAAATGCAGCTCATCAGCCCCAATTTCTGCAAGTGCTGCATACATGACATACCCCAAATAAAAAGGTTGCTTCTCATAAGTCATTCTGAATAGAAACATAACACACACTAGAAAGCCAAACCTTCAGAGTTTACATTTTAAGACTCAAAATTAACCAGACTGTTATTAATATTAAGATATATAAGCTCAAACATTAAAAAAACCAACAAATATAAAGAATATATTTATTAAATGTATAAAAATATTATTTGAATTTAGGATATCAACTTATAACCACAACTAAAGTGTAGCCAGACTTGTTTGTCATACTTCATTTTGAATCTGAGAATGATATCTCTAAAATTATGCATTTTATGAAGTCATTGTGAGATTTATGTCTTTTAGTTTATGTCAGTGGAGGATTTCGAGAAGTTTTAGAAAACGCAAACAAGTTTCTCATCAAATATTTTATTGCCCTAAATACATATTTACAGTCTCTGACTAATGTTTGGTGAGGAGAACTGGCCCACTCATGTTCTATTCATTTAAATCGACCAACCTTACACATGGTGAGACCCAATCTCCGATATACACGCATTAAGTCTTGTTAGAAAGGAAAAAAAAACTATTATTGGAACTTTACATGTGAATTATTTAAAAAAATATCTATTTTTGAATCTATTTTTTCCTGCAGCAGGTGCATTAGCATAACAAGTACTCTCAACATAGATGACACCATTTAATTTATTAATATTACACTTTTATATAAAACTCACTTTGAAACACCATCCAGTATTTGCATCATATTCCAAACGTGGTTTAAAATGTTTTCAAGGCAAATAAAGATTTTGAAATATGTTGTATTTAGCATTTTAGATGAAGCTTTTGTAACGTGAAGGTTCGGCATATGGTGATGGATCAGTCTTTAGAATAATAAACAGTAGAATGGAGAGACTGTTTGTCAAGCGGTACTTGAACACTGTCAGAACAACTCTATAGACCCCTTTTGCGCGGACGTCACAGTTACGTCACGGCGCTAGCTGGAGGCAAAAGAAAGTGAGAACTGGAGGCGGCCAATGCAAACCAGCACAGATTCGGCTGCATAATAAGGAGCTTAAATAATTGTTACTATTATTAAATGTCATCTTGTTGTGTTGTTTGGTGCAAGAATTGATGAAAAATGAATATGCTGTATCTGGAACTTTTATTTCTAGAAAATATTCACATCATTAATATCGCACTGTAATGTCACTCTTTACATTGTCGTGGTCTCGACGCTGGCTCGGTAGAACTGCGGATCGTACACACAAGTCTTGTACAGGACCATATAGGCATCTAAAGATTTATATGCCCTCAGTTTCTATTTACGATCGGTTTCTCTATAAGGTAGGTGTAGAAGACAGGCCACTCACCCGAGGTAACGTACGTTAATCCTGTCAGATCGTCCATGCATTGAGTGAGGGTGTAGGCGGCTACAGGTCGGCCAAGCTGGGTCCGTCCATTAAAAATAACTTTTGGAAATAACAATCGCGGTCCTGGACACTGAGTGACCTTACACATTAAGATAATATCGGATTTTCTCATGGATTTTCTCCCGTCATTGTTAAAAAACAAGCTAACAATCCTTGCTAACTAGCGTTAGTGAAGAGGCCAGATGGATCTTTCTGCGTCCACCTAAGCTCCGCCCACAAAAATACGTTACCATGTTTACAACCTGTAAAAGGGTCTATTCAGCCTTTCACGTGACTATATTAACCAATCAAAAGCAAGAACGTAGACCGAGAGTGAAGGCACATTCTATGCTTAATGTATTAAATATGTAAACACAATTAACTGACTAAACATTATTCTAGTAAAATAACTCAAATAAAACCGTATTAAATTCTAAGCATTACAACTTTTACAAATTAAATATGAACTCCACTTCTATAAGCTATCCTTAGGTAACGTTAGCATATGCATTCTGTAAACATTGTTTATTCATATGAAAACTTCAAATCACACCAAATCACCTACAGAACACACACATATTGAAGTAACCGTGCATTTATTAGCTTCTCGTTTCAGGTGAAGAGATGTCACTTTCGCTTTGTTATCACGGATGTCCAGAATCAGGAAGTGTAAACACAGGCGTCATGCAGAAGAAGTCACGTGATATGTTTGACAGCTGTAAGCGAACCATGGTTCGACGTCATTCAGATCTGACGCAAAACAGGAAGAGTATATACACAGCTCGCTCCATTCTTTGATTGAGCTGTTTAGATCGCATAAGTCAGTGTAAAATGAATAGAAATGTTATGACGGAAATATTTTAGTAGCATATGATAATGAATCATTATTTCTACAAATGCGCGCTCCATTGTACTAATAATCCTGGCGGATTTTTGTATGTATCTGAGCACAAATAAACCGGAGAAGATGAGAAGTAATGATGTGTGAGTGATTTTCTTTTCTATTCAAAATAGCGATCGTTATAGATTTATTATTGTGTACTCCTGGCATAAAATAATAAATTAATGTCACTGAAAACCAATTTGATCATAAACAGTGGTCAAATATCTCATCTGGAGTCTTACATTTTTCTTATAAAGCTGAGTTTGTCCAGATTAAGAGTGTGATGGGTTTTAAGAGTAATGAAATTTGAACAACAATAATCCAGGATAACCAGTGATTCCTGCCAGGTAAGGGGTTGAAAGTAAAAAAATTGTGTCTGTACAAGATGTTCCTGAAGTTTAAAGAAAGTAGTGACATGGAACATTGCTGTTGAACAATTTATTTTTATTCAGAACAAGATTAATTTTGAACAGATGAATTATTAAAAAACAGTGAGAGAATTGGTGAGTAAACAAAAGTTTGTATATTGACAGTGTATATGTACAACAAAATTAAAGAACACATCAGTTAGAACAACTGTAGCAGTATAAGGCAAAAAAGTTTTGCTAGAACAATTCTAGTAAATGAATATAATCTAAATTAAATTATAATATTATTATAAATTTAAAGAAAAAAAGTTATACATAGCCTATGTATTTTTCAGGAAGTGAAATTAGATAAATGAACTAGTACAACTTCTTTAAAGAAAACAAAAACCCACCATCTCTAAATGTAAGTGTCTACTATTATGTTTGTTTTGGTTCTGTTTGTGTTGGTTCTGTTTGTTTTGGTTCTGTTTGTTTTGGTTGTAATTCTTTTGGTGCATTTGTAGGTGAAGCGGGTCTCTTTGCACCAGGTTTATTTTGTTCCTTGTTGTGCAATGACACCGCTTCAGTGATGGTGCATAGTTCACCATCACTTTCCTGTGTTTCAACCGATGCTAATTTTGTCATTTCTGTGACATGATTGTCATCGGTGTATGACAAAGTGAGAGGCCCACAGGTAAGTAAAAACTCCTCTATGTCCTGGGCGTCCAGGAATGTTACATCTGCCTCACTTTTCAAGAATTTGGTCAGAACAGAATTTGTGACTGAGAGTGAAATTTCTTCAATTTCTGTTTTGACAATGAGAGTTCCATTGTATTTAGTAATGTAGCTCTCATGCTTTCTGAGAATCTTACAGGTTGTGCATCTGTGGAATTTCTCCTTTGTGTTGAAATCTGTCTGTGTGCTGTGACACTTGGGGCACAATTTCTTAATAGAAATTGTGCTGCCCTCTACTTCCTGTGTAACAGTGTTAGTTTGTGTTGGAAAATCATCTATGTTTGATGATGTGGTTGGTAATGCTACTGTTGTGGTCTGTTGCTTGATTTTTGTGTTTCTTGTGGTGGTTAAAGTAATTCGACCATTAAACAATCTTGTGGACAGATTTGTGAACTCGTAAGTTCTACCAGTCACCACCTGATCCATAAGACTGTCCCATAGGGATAGGGGAATGATCCCTGTCATGTCACCAATTCTGCAGGTTTTCACCTCACTTTGTGTGTCATAGGCCGTCACCATGGAGCTTGTACTGCTGATGCTTGACACTGTTGCGTTGAGTTTCAAAATCTGTAAAGTAGAGTAAATGGTTAATGATGTACTTATTAAAATAAAGGAGTTTGTGTAGTTATGTTTGAAAGTTACATTTTTTTAATTATAAGGTGACAATTATCTTATAGCCTAGTTCTAAAATTTGGCACTCAAACAGAACTACATAAACAGATTAGAGGAAAATTTTGGGGTAAATGTCATATGTCTGTGAAACTGGGTTTTTGACGTTTTAGTTGATAAACATTATAATATTTTTAACTGTCTTATGTTATCCACTTTTTTCTGCTCTAAACAATGCGTGCTGCCATGACGACGATGCCGGTAGTGAACTTCTGGTTTGAGTCTGGTCTATGTTTTTTTGCCATGTGTTTTAGATTGTGTCATACCCACATCGCTAAACTTAATCGAAAAAAAAAACATTCATCAAATGTGATCTCATCACGTCATTTTTTATTAAATCACAAATAAAAACTTAATGAATGTTTTTCTTTTCTTCATAACTTCCAAAGGATAGCTGATGCATGACTGCACGATCTCCTTAATCCAGGAAACATCCGACAGTTTCTATCACCCGGAGTGCTGCAGAATAACAGTACTATAAGGTTAGGCTGGTTATTTTTGTTTGAGTTCTGTCTACCTCTGCTTTCAAAGATGCATAGTCAGGCCTGAGGTTAGGCATAACGTTACGCTGAGTTTCATTCATGAGACCAAAGTCCAGTTTGTGCGTTATCGCTTTTGTCATGATCATCTATTGTTTGCTATACTTCTTATTTATTAAAACCAGGCGATTGGTTGATGAAACATTGATTTAAATTAAGATACAATTAGTAAAAAAAGGACAGCAGGAAGTAGAAAACCGTCAAGTCAGTTGAATTCGCTATGAATCATGGGAAATAGAACGGGCGCAGAAACAGGTGGATAATCATAATGTTATGCTGTCATGTCTGAGTGTTTTGTACCAGACTGTACACAAATGAGCAATGGATGCTGCCCTACAAAGGCAAAGCACAGTAATTACACATTTGGTCAAAAATTAGTTAAGACTTGTAATGGGCTTTATGACATGTGTTCTGTCTTGTGAAAAAATATCTGGGTTAAATTATGTCCTATTTCGGACATGCATTACCACATAATCTACACATAACATGTTTTACTGGCTGGTATGAAAACTTTAAAGGCCTTTTTCTCTGTTTCTTTGTTTGTGTAGTTACTGCACTTTGCCTTTGTAGGGCAGTATAGTGTGAGACAAGAGATGCAGTTCATTGACATAAAACTAAATGTTATTCTTCTGTTTTGACAATTGTGACTTTCATAATCATCTTTTAAATTGACAAACATCATATGTGTAATTTAGGGAATAAGGGGAGGCTTAAGGGATACTCCACTTTAAAATGAATATTCTGTCATAATATACTCACCCTTCTGTTCTTTCAAAACTGTATGAATTTCTTTTGCTGAACAGAAAATAAGATATTTAGAAGAATGTCAGTAACTAGACAGTTTCTGGTCCCATTGACTTCCATAGTAGGAAAATATATATATACTATGGAAGTCAATGGGACCAGAAATTGTCTGGTTACTGACATTCTTTCAAAAATTTTCATTTCTGTTCAGTAGAGGAAAGAAATTAATCCAGGTATGAAACAACATGAGGGTGACTATATGGTGACAATTTTAATTTTAAAGTGGAGTATCCCTTAGCCTCTGTATGTGTTGGACTACCAATGTAAAGCTGCTGCTGCCATTTACAATATTGGATGTTAATATCCAATATATAACATGTTTACAGTTTAGACTGTAATCTGCTCAGTGCTCATCACTGCAATAATTCATGTGTTGCAATAGATCTAAATACTTGATTAATAGTTTTGATGATTTGTTAATCTCGATAGTAAAATGTAATAAAAGTTTTTGAGAGAGTTTCACATGTTACACTTGCTATTTCATATACAAACATGTCTGCCAATAACATTAGTGGGCGTTTATATTGAAGTAATACAGACACGTCCCGTCAAATCAGATGATAAAATCAGGTTTGGTAAAATGCCTTTAATTTCTAAATTGATCAATTTTGTTGCAAAAATTATAGTAATAGTATACATTATATACTAATTGTTATTATATAATAACATTATAATTTATAATGTATGCACTTTAGGAGATATTATAAAGTAATAATAAAATCCAGTGTTTGACACCTTTAATTTTTATTTTACATCCCTATATCAAAACTTTATTTTGGTACTATTCTGTTATCCGGACCCCACCATATACCATTTCGGAACTCATCCCTGATTGGTCTTAACACCAGTGACGGTTAGGTTTAGGGCGGGGTTACGCCGACACTGGCAGTTGAAATCAGCTCCGATGCGGCTGCGAAACGACCGGAAGTCATTCATTTCCTATGGATATTCGCAGACCTCATGCGAATGGGTCCGAAATGGGTCCGACCGAGTGCGGTGCGAAGAAAATCGTGTTCATTGGTCATCCGGATGCGTTCAAAAATTTGAACTCGTGCGAAAAGCTACGGACGGTTCCTATCCGACAGCGGAAGTTGAGCGTTGCTATGGTACTGATAAACAAACCTGAACTATTAACTTTTAATAAAATAAATAATGATTTTATAACGATAAGTTGTCATGTCATTTTTTTATTTACATGACGTTCTAAAGTTTATAAGGGCAGTTAATACAATTAAATTGAAGGTAGACATTGAACTATTGACCACTATATCACATTTTTTAGCCGACCTGACATGTCAACGTCCTCAGCAACTTTCCTCACGCAGCATAACCCTCATCAGAGAGATCATACAGAACTGACAGAATCAAACTTTAATCTCTCCGCCATTTTTGTTGTACCCGCGTCCGACGCTTTGTAGTACGACGTCCGTTGGGAACGTATTGCGTATTACGGAGCTGATTTTACTGCCAGTGTGAGGCGGCGTAGGGTAGGCCATCGTGGGGTCCGGATAACAGGAAAGTACCATATTTATATACTTACTGATTTGTGAGATGGCATGTTTATTATTTCAGCTACAGTAAGCTGAGTCTCTTGAGGTGGTCTGTAGGGAAAATCCAATCCAGTTGTGACGTCCACGGTGGTGTATTTGGTGCACTCAATGTCGAAATCGTCTTTGTAGCCTGAAAAGTAGAGTGGTATTGTATGAGTACATTTATATGGGAACAATAAGAAAATGGGAAGTAGGCTATATTTATTCATGATTAAATAGCAATGTGAAATATTAAGTTTTTGCTAAAGTATAGTCATATTCATAAAATGCAGTAGTTCTTCAGTCGTTTTCCAGTCGTTACTTAAAAGCTCAGTTAAAGCAGTCTGATACCATAGGGAAAATAAAACTGTTACGGATACGCGAAGTACAACGACGGAGTTCCCGCTCTATCTGATCGACTCTGTGCGTGACACATTGTCTGTTCCAGAGCTAAAATAAGTCAATATAAAACGTTTCTCAACAAACATGAGTGTTGAAACAAAAATAGCCCATGGATAAACTACGATACGTTTAAACTCTTATTGAAAATGTAGGCAGAAACGATTATAAAAATCCACTGTCTATGACGAAGAGGAAATGTAAATCATTGTATGAAATTGTCGGTTTCTTGATAGGGAAAACAATCAAACTTGAATGCCAAAACTTATAATTAAGCTTACGTGTTTTAAGGGGGTCATTATAACGTAACTTTTTAATAGGTTTATAAAATATGAATTTCTTTTAACCTTGCCTATATGTGTAGTCGGCTAACAAACAATTAAATTATACATAATAGTTTGCATAGAATTATTTGTTATATAGTGTTGATAAATAGCCTATAAAAATATTTTTCTATTTTAAAATAGAACTTGTACTTACCAATTTTTTTTCTGGCGTTGTTCAACTTGATCGGGGTCTTTTTTCTTTCTGCCATCTGGATGCTGCTGTGTTTTTGAGGTGTATAAAATACAGCCTGGTGGTATTGTTCTCTTGCTGTTTGGATAGTTGCATTAAAGTATTTATTGTTTTTTTTAGATGTTTTCATTGGAGAAACCGAATGTATGTAACCCGTTATAGGGGTTTCGCTGTCATCTGATTTCTCCATTCTACAAATTGCTTCGTTCGAATAGCAGGCTGTTGTTTTGACCAAATCTGAATGCTGTATCTATTTTTTTGAAAAAGAGCGGGTTTTATATTCGTATTTTTCAAATTGAGATGGGCGTGTTCAATTGCTGGTTTCTGATTCGCTGAAATGAAATCCAGTTAATATTTTTTTTTTGGTGAATAAATGGTAGCCTATGACGTTAACTGTATTGGTTTGAATGTAGTATGAGATTAACGATGAAAATTAAAAGAAAAAGGGGATACAATTTTGTCTGTTTTTTCAATGTAATTTCAAAAAAAAATATCAGCTGTATATGTTTGATTTAGGCTATTTGATTAGCCATTAGATGTAGGTTTTTTTTTATTTATTTATTTTTTTATTTTTTTAAAGGTTTAGGGTTATTGGTGATGGTTGTAAGATATAATTATAGGATAGGATACATATTTGTATTATATAAAATATGAAACTCCCTATAGTGTGAATACTATAAATCGATAACAGTAGGCTATATCATTAATTATTATTTTTTACATCTGACAAATACCCCCCTAGTGCTCATTGCCGCATCCTACCACAGTTACTAATACAATATTGTAAATCATAAATCACATGTAGGCTATACAATACCGTCCAGCAATCTATTTAAATAGAACATTGAGTTTGAATTTGTTGTCTAATGGGATCTAATATGTCTTTGGTGCCAAGAATTTTCATGTGAAGAAATAGATATAGTAGCCTACTTTTCAGTGTTTTAATGGGCCAGTGGTAGAACATTAGAGTGCCGTGCAAAAGATGCTGGGTTCTAGTCCGCACTCGTATAATTTTTCCCCCTTACGAACCGATTGTGTGTATCAGTGGTTGTTAAGGAAGGACATGTTTGAGTGCATTTTACTTTGTGATTTCACCGGTACGAATAGAGATTTCTCCGCAACAGATCAAGCGCGCGTCCATTTGAAGATGTTTCTTGTGGCAGCGCGAACCTCAAGAACACTTTATATCAGCACCACTTATCGAGTCAACGAGCGCTTTGATCACTTGATTTAAAAACAACACATTTCAGCGTGTTATATCACCTCTTATTTAACAAATAAATGCTCTGCTAGTTAACCGGATGTTTTATTTATTTGTATTCGTACATCCGTGCCGCGAGATGTTAAGTGCTGGGGACATACCGACCCTGGCAAAAAGTGGTTTCATGCGTTTGATTAATAAATTCTAATTATTTCTTTTTTCTTCTCTTTTATTTGTTATGTAATTATATAAAAAATATATACAATTTGTCCTATTTTTAGTTTAACTGCCTGTATTGCTCTTTTGATTTACAACTCGCTTTGGATAAAAGTGTGTGCTAAATTATTAAATGTAAATTAATTTTAAATGGACTCAGTTGTAATCAGATGACTCTGAAATTCACTTGTTCCAAACAAAATGATACCAACTGACTAATTTAAAAGAAAATAATTTATACAAAGACTCATTTGTAATAAAAAGACTGAAATATCGTTGTATGGAATCAAATGACTCTCAAATTGATTCGTTCAAAGCACTTTTAAATTGATTTGCTTGTAACCAAAAGACTCAAATGTCCTTGTATGGAATATGACTTTTAAATTGACTCTTTTCCTTTACTTGAGTCTTTGATAGGCTAATTAGTTCACTCATTACAAATCTTGTTCAAACATGTCAAAACAGATATTACACACTCACGGTCTGTTTCTCCCCAAGGGACCCATCAAACACCACATCACACATTCGGTTAAGAGCAAGACAACATATTTATTGCTGAACTTATTATACATCTGTTACAAAGTTTATATTGACAACATTTATTTATTTATTTATTATTTTTAAGGAAAGATAGAAATAATACAAACATAAACTGAGTATTTTGTTGGTGTATTTTTTATAGCATGAAGTTTTGAAAAGGTTACATCGATAACAAAATATTTAGTGTAAGTCTTCTCTTTAGAACAGCATTTTCGTTTATATTAATTGTACTGTTTTGGTATAATTCCAGCCGATGGTGGGTGCTCTATTGTCTTTCCGTTTTAACCGGAAAGGAAGCCATTTTGTCTACTTTCTGGAAAGGTAAGCATGCGGTGTTGTTTCTTGTAATGTAATCTTAAATCATCGGTGCATTCTTACTCATCTAAAATATTTTTAGGCCAGTATATTTATATATTTTTGTGTGTCTGTATGTTTTGTGGTTGTATTTTGTGATATATTGTATAAAGGCAACATTTTGTTACAGTACAAAGTTAATGTACTTCATCTGGCCAGTTTTGATTAGAAGAACAAATAAGTTGTGTGCTGTTTAAAACATTTTTTGATGGTGTGATCGTTCTTATTAGTTTAATAGTTAATTCATACAATTTTTAGTATTGAATGGTTCATTGCTACACATATTTTTCGCCCTATTCGTAAATGTCAATCTTAACGTTTTAAAGTAGCCTATAGTTCACAAACTGCTGAAGAACATTTTTGCTATTTACTGAACCCATTTTATATTACAATGATAATGTAAATTATATAGATTTAGAGGTTAATGTCTCTGTACAGCGCATGGCTGCTAACGTTTTTAATATGAGTGATGTAAAATGCGTGATGTGCTTCTTAAAGTGAGTTATTCACTTGGGAAGTTGTCGGCGAAATCTGCACGTAATTATTGTAATCATCGCGTGATTCTGAATTCAGTTGCATTTTGCGAGCTATTGATGTTGTTGGTCTTATGCCAAAACAAGTGAAATGAGGTCTTTTTTTTAGTGAAATGCAGGTCTTTGCTTGTATTCTTGAATACGTTCACTCGTTTTTATGAACACGTGCATCAATTACAATTACATCCGTGCATTAGGTCTTAAAATGACGGTGTATTAAAATAATGAAATAAAAATAATATATAGATATAGAAATATAGATGCATATTTAAATAATATATGCAAATTCTTTTTGTGTTTTTATTACTTGCATCGTTCTGTTCAATAAACTTAAACTGAAAGTAGGGTCTTTTTTTTTGTATTGTATAATTGACTTGTGTGTGTGTGTGTGTGTGTGTGTGTGTGTACTGTATATATTTATGTATGTATGGGTACCCGCGGGTCTTAAAAGCCTTGAAAAAGTCTTGAATTTGATCGTCTCAAATGAAGGCCTTAAAAGCCTTGAATTTAGTATACAAGTCTTGGTTTTCATTACAAACGTCTTATTTTTCTTTTTTCTTCTTCTTTTTTTGCCTCTCCGAGGATTAAGTTCATACCGTAACAAAATTAACTAATGTAGGCTAATTCTAAATATGCAGCGTTGAGTGCCCTGCACTCCACGTTATAGCAGAAAAAGGATCGCGTTCGCATCCGTTACTATGGTTACTTACTAGGCAAGTGAGGTACAGAACAAGATAGTACCTAGCTTTGTTTAATCTGCTGCGGCCGCAAATGACAGAGTTTAAACCACAAATAAGAGCTTTTCTGTTAAAAGAACATATTTTCTACCCTGTCTTTTCAATAGTAACGTTATCTGGCAACCATGCGCGCGCTCTCTACACTGCTGAAGAAGCGCGGATTATCTGAAAACACAGACAAGCTGGAGAGCAGCGATCTTTAAGATTTTCTACTTAACTTAAAGTGTCATTCAGTCGGTCTGTTCTGTAACGAGCCGCTTGCGTTGTTTGTGCGACTAAATCTGCGATCAAAATGGAGGCTGGTATCCAGCAGTGTTCATACGAGCAAGAATGCAATGTTTATCCAAACGATTTCAAATGTGACATTGATTTTATACTATAGTAAAAAAAAGAAAAGATTAATGGTAACATTAAGTGATGTACATTTACTACATTTAAAACAGCATTGTCAGGCTTGCTCTATAACGAAATGTGTGGCTTTGAACGAATCGTGAGATTCAATGAATGAATGACTCAGACTCACTCATAAAGATAGCGAGTTACCGCCACCTAATGGCGATTTTTATGTTTTTTAACAGGGCATAATTAATGAACATTGTTTTATTTAAAGCATTTTTAAAGGTAAATAAAATGAAATGGAAAAATTGATTAAAGGGGGCAAATATTGTCCCTGAATGGAAAAGGTGAGTGCAGTCTAAGTGTAAGAGAGAGGGCTACAGGGGGTACGGCACTCTAAAACATTGGAAAACCACTGAACTTAGGAAAAGAGATAAACTATGTAGAACTGCACACGTGCTACTGCTAAAGAGTGCAATATCAATAATTTATCATAGCCTATGCTTAATTGAATTGGCCTAGAGAGAATAATTTTTCACATTTTCTGCCTAAAGACTACATATTAAATAACTACCAAAAGTAAAGTAACCGCAGTTTGACTAAAAGTTGACAAAAAAATGCTAAGACTTTTCGTCAACTACAACTATAAGAAACAGGATGACTCAAATGTGATTAAGACCAATAAGTATTTTCGTCTGAAGACTAAGACTAAATCAAAAATGGCTGCCAAAATTATCACTGGACTACACACACGTGCGAGCTACAACGTTGTTGTGTATGTATTAAATATGACTGATAATTTAAGTAAAATGTTTTATTTAATTCAAGTAGCCTCCTTGTACATAATTATTTTCTAGGGTTCGAAATGTATACAGATTTGACATTTTTCCCTCGTACTTCTGTCGGAATGGGTACGAAGTTGGTATTGAATTTCATCTAAAATGGTATTAAAAAGGTCTTAAAAAGCCTTAAATTTAAGTTGGAGCATCCTGGAGGTACCCATGTATGTATGTATCTATGTATATCTATTTATACATAACCTGTCAAACAATAAAATATATATTTATTATTATTGTGAAATATACTCCCTCATATTGTGAAAGATGTATTTTGGTCATACTGAGCAGTGTTATTCGGAACACGATTGAAGATGTATAAGCCTAATAAATATTAAATAGATTTAAAAAAAAGGTGTAATACACTGTCTGTGTCCAGAACACACTGACTGAAGTTGCATGTACATTTATAGAAATATAATGGCTACAATTTATTCATTGGCATGATATAAAACGATATGTGCAGTCTTTTTTCATTTTTTTTTTTTTTTGCATGGTGCAGTCTGCTTGGGACTGATGTCTATGATATTGTTCTTAAATGCAATTGCTTTTAGGTTTTGTAAATCTTTTTTACTCTTATGTTGCAGAAGACGGTGTAATCTGATTCGAGGTAAATTGTTACTTTTTTATAATACACAGTGATAATATGGGCAATACTGTATAGTACAAGAAAACATTTGGGAAAGTTGATGCGCAGAGGCTAATGGCATGTCACTATGCTTATTAGTACATCGAGTCTTCATTAGCATATGCCACTGGATAGTTACCTGTCACTGACATTTTTGTGGAACATATTGTATGTTGTGACAGCTGCATTAGTGATTTGATATATTTGAATCGAGCAGCTATACTAACATGATTGTGACAACAAGTCCTATTTTGTGATAATTTAAATATCAATTAAATGCAGTAAAGTCAGTAATACTTATTTTCTAAACATACTACTTTTGTCATGTCTGTATTTGAATGGTATGCCATTGAATGTTTTATAATACCAGTGCTGCTTTATATTGTTTATCTCACAAGTCACACACTGCCCATTCTAGGAAAGACATAAAATATATCATGGTTCACTAGTACGAACAATGCCTAACAGTTGTGTCTGTTACTGTAAAGTGTAAACATTTAGTTTATTTTTGCATGATGCTGCATAGACACAAACAAGTAGGTGTCAGTATAAGTGAGTGTAATAGTAGCCAGTGCAAGATTCTCCTCAGTGGCTTAACTAAAAGTTTAAAATAAAGTTCTTTCAAAAATGACAAAAATAAATAAATATTTATTTGTTAGGCCATGTTCCTTAAAAAGATTACATAGTGAGCTAGCTGTCTTTTTTATTTATACCAGTGCAAAAAAGTGCTAAGTGCATTAAAAAATATATTTCATAGCTTTAATATTTTAACAAAGTATTTTATGGAATTATTATTCAATAAATAAAATGTATTTATTTAAAGGATTAGTTCACTTTTGAAAAAACTTTTGCTGATAATTTACTCACCCCCATGTCATCCAAGATGTCCATGTCTTTCTTTCCTCAGTCGAAAAGAAATTTAGGTTTTTGATGAAAACATTCCAGGATTTTTATCCATATAATGGACTTCAATGGGAACCGGATGGTTCAAGGTCCAAAAGATAGTGTTAATAACAGTTTCAGATGCAGCTTCAAATGTCTTTAAACGACACCAGACGATGAATAAAGGTCTTATCATGCGAAACGATCGGTTATTTCAAAACTTATTCCAAAAATTGAACTTTTCTAAGGACAAATGCTAGCCTTGCTATATTCTCTGAGGCGCGTTTGCAACGTCACGTAATACGTAATTACGTTCAAAAGGTCACGGGCGACGTAGCCGGAAGTACAGTATCAAAATCGTCTGACATCGTTGTTATTCCTTTTAATTCCTTTTTTTTGTGAATGGTGTTTGAGCTAGTTTGCACGTTCAACCTATGCGTTCAACTTGTAAACACTGACTCTGTACTTTCGGCTACGTCGCCCGTGACCTTTTGAACGTAATTACGTAATACATGACATTGCAAACGCGTCTCACAGAATAGAGTAAGGCTAGCATTTGTCCTTAAAAAAGTTACATTTTTGGAATAAGTTTTGAAATAAGCGATCGTTTCGCATGATAAGACCCTTATTCATCGTCTGATATCGTTTAAAGACATTTGAAGCTGCATCTGAAACAGTTATTAACTGTCTTTTGGACCTTGAACCATCCGGTTCCCATTGAAGTCCATTATATGGAGAAAAATCCTGGAATGTTTTCATCAAAAACCTAAATTTCTTTTCGACTGAGGAAAGAAAGACATGGACATCTTGGATGGCATGGGGGTGAGTAAATTATCAGCAAAAGTTTTTTCAAAAGTGAACTAATCCTTTAACAAGATTTAAAAAGTTGTGATGTGCGAATTGATTGTCATGTGCCATTTTTATAGCAATTTGCCTTATGCTGTCATCATGTGATTTTTTTTTTTTATATCACTACTAAATGAATGTGTACTTCAATATTATTATACATTATTTGATCAAATTATTTTGGATATATAAAAGCCACAGATTAAAACTGCTGGACAGTGTTAACAGAAAAGGCTACAAATACTGACACCTACTGGTGTGCGTTAATGCAGCATCATGCAAAAATAAAGGTTTACAGTAGCAGATGCATTATTCGTAGTGACACATGATAGATTTATTTTGTCTTTCCTAGAGAATGCGTAGTTTTTAATTTTGCAAGATAAACAACAAAGTAGCACTGGTATTACAAAACATGCAGTGTCAATCATGACAAGTATATTGTTTGTAAAAAAAAATTACTCTCTTTAAAGTATTTAATTGATACTTAAAATAGAATAAAATTAGGCTGTTTAGGACTATCACTATTTCATAAGTATAGCTGCTTGATTCATTTGTCAATCACCATGGGAGGTGTTACAACATATGGTGACATGTTTTGCGATAATGTCAGCGACGCATATTACTATCGTAATGGCACAACCTATGGTTAAACATGTTCAAAATGTCAAAAGATAAACTTATTTGCTCTGTTTACACCTATTGGTTATTTATTGGTACCACTGCTTTAACAAAGACATTCCCAATGGATAAGATAAAGATAATTTAATTGCATTTAATAGAGCCGTGTAATGATGTATAAATAATTAAAGTCCCCGTGAACCGGAAGTTGCAAACGATTTTTCTCCCGTGCTGTGACGTATTTCCAAGTGAAACGGAATATTGAACAGAGGGCAGGGTTTTACTCTAGCGCTCCTCCTCTCCATCTCTCGCTCATAGCAAACTAACGGTTTGAGGGGAGTGGTTAAGCGTTTCCCCACCCAAACTGTGAAACCTACGTCATCAGAAAAAGAAACCGTTCCAGACCGGAAGTAACTTCAGATTTTGATTAAAGATTACTAAGGTAAAACATTTTTTAAATATATATTTACTTGCACGGATTAATTGTTCACCACAAGACTAGTAATATGCGCTAACAAAGTAAATAGGTTCAATTTTGATTTCACGGGGACTTTAATATCAAAAAATAGTCTGATAGAATGTTTAAAGGGTTAGTTTACCCAAAAATGAAAATTCTGTCAGTATTTGCTCACCCTTATGTTTTTCCAAACCTCTATGTGTTTATTTGTTCTGCTGAACACAAAGGAAGATGTATGGAAGAATGTTTTAATCAGACAGATCTCATTCCCCATTGACATCCATAGTAGGAAAAATACATTCTATGGTAGTCAATGGGGAATGAGATCTGTTTGATTAAAACATTCTTCCAAACATCTTCCTTTGTGTTCAGCAGAACAAATAAACACATAGAGGTTTGGAACAACATGAGGGTGAGAAAATACTGACAGAATTTTCATTTTTGGGTGCACTTTAATATACGACACATGACTTATTTTGGCATACAAACAACCAATTTGTAACCAAACACTAGACTATGTAAAATGAGAATTCTCTTTTATTAGTAACTTTGGTAAGTTTTAGATTTCAATTAATAAATAACATAGATGGGGGGGGGGGGGATTCAGTCTGCCTAGTGTAGTCTGTTCATTTAATCTGGCAACCCCCTGAGCCCGACGGCATCGTCGACGATGCCACACGTCACCTCCGATAAATGTTTACAAAACTTGATGACAGATTTATCGATTTTCTTACCGTTTTTTCCAGCAGAAAGCTAACGAGCTAGCCATCACGGGGGTGTCTGTGGTGTCTTTCTAGCCTTTACAGAAGGTTTTCTATCCAGCCTGGAACTTGTGCTTCCTTTCAGAGGTTTTCAGCAATAAATCCAAACGCTTTATGTTAAACTTTGATAATCTTGATGTCCATAATTCATAAATATTCCGTCATTTTTGCCGCTAGCTCGATGCTAGCGGACATTCTGGATATCACGTGATGTTTTCACGTGATGGTTTTTGACCAATTACAGGCTAATCCGTCGTAAACATTGGTGTGCGTCATTACGCATGAACCAAGCGCTGATATAGTGGAGAGAGATAGAGACGCACGGAGACGCGCAATTCACAGAGAAACACAGCGAAATAGACGTAAATAAAGCGCTGGTCTATTTTGTTGCATTGCAGGATGATGGATTTTCAGGAGAACAGAGCTTTTTGACAGATGAGGAACTAGATTACCAGGATAGACCCAGCTGAAGTGCCATTTATTTATTTACTGTAAAAAAGTATTATAGCCTAGTAGAATAAAAGTAGTATAAAAGTATAAAAAGAAGATAATAAATAAAAGAACAAATAAAATAGAAATGCAAAACCTGTGATGTGGCCCTCTGTGTGATTGCTGATAGGAACTGTTTTGAGGCTTGGCACCAGTGAATTTCATGAGGCCCCAAACGCCTGGACTTCTTTTGGAAAAATGTCAATAGTTTTTGTTCTGTACAAGTTATAATGTTTATTCCTGTGCTCCAGGACTCCAAAGACATTAACAAACTATTTTCCAGTGAAAAATTGCTTATCTTTTATTTATTTGTGTGTGATTTTAATAAATATTTGAGTGATTCCATTTCCGATTTATTTTTTCATTTGTCTTTATGGTCCCATAACTTATTTTCCAGTGAAAAATTGCTTATCTTTTATTTATTTGTGTGTGATTTCAATAAATATTTGAGTGATTCCATTTCCGATTTATTTTTTCATTTGTCTTTATGGTCTCATAACTTATTTTACAGTGAAAAATTGCTTATCTTTTATTTATTTGTGTGTGATTTCAATAAATATTTGAGTGATTCCATTTCCGATTTATTTTTTCATTTGTCTTTATGGTCTCATAACTTATTTTACATTCAGGTGACATCAATGTAACACAAATATGCTGAAAGTTCAATTTGTCCTGAAAAAAAAAGAGGTGTGTCAATTGTCTGTGCATCAAAGGGTTGATATTTTACAAGCTTTTTTAGTAAATGACACCAGACGGAAAATTTATTGTAAAAATACCCTTAGGTCTCAGAGGATTAAGTACTTTTAATTATTGTATTTATGGTGTGTAATTTTTTTTACAGTTTTTCTTTAGCACAAAATTTGAAAATGTACTAGAAATATACTTTCTTGTATTTAAGTGTGTTTTTTAGTGCAAATTTAAATTTTAAATAAGGGGAGGAAAATCAGTCTTCATTGTTATAATATGATAGAAAATAAAACACCATTGTTTAAAAATAGATATCAGTATAATGAAGTAAAATAGGGTTATGTGATCTGTAGTTGGTTTGAGAAGTGTTTTCAGATATATAGTTATTTTGGGAGATTCAGAGCATGATTCATTGCTGAAAGTCTTAGGTTTTTAGTGCATTTCCATTGCTATCTATTATACACTGTTTATTTTAAAGCATAAATTCCAAGTAGGTTAATGTTATTGTCTTTGTTTGCAGAATTAATTATGTTCTGTTTGGATATTATGTTCAGCTTGGGTGTCCTACCTAAATAGTTAACAATTTATTAAAAAATAAAATAAAAATAAGTTATTTAGTTTTAATGTTGAAACATTTCACAATCAAATTAACTTAATGTTTTTATATTTATTTAATCTTTACATATGATATGATTTGTATCTGAAAAATAAACACTGAATGGATTGTAAATTATCATTAATCACTTTGCTGTATTATGATTTAACACTAATTGATATTTTATTTTTATATTTAATGTGATGCTTATTTACTAGAAAGCAGTAATGTTTAAGTTCATTTATCATGTGTTTTTGTGTGTGCAGATGCCACGCACGAAGCAAGCCCAGCGCTCCCAGGCTGCGAAGAAAAGAATCGCGGACCGCATGACCCCTGGTCCTGAAGAGGCCCTGCCACCTCTTAAAAAAATGGCAGAAGTAACAGAACGTTGTGTACATCACAACGGGGATAAAAAGTGTGATACTGAAGAGGCCCTGCCACCTCTTAAAAAAATGGCAGAAGTAACAGAACGTTGTGTACATCACAACGGGGATAAACAGTGTGATACTGAAGAGGCTCTGCCACCTCTTAAAAAATTGGCAGAAATGACTGAACGTTGTGTCCATCACAACGGGGATAAAAAATCTGACATAGCAAGAGGTCTAACAACTGGTCTAACAACTGATCTAACAACTGGTCTAACAACTGATCTAACAACTGATCTAACAACTGGTCTAACAACTGGTCTAACAACTGATCTAAACAATGACGCTAAAAACACCGATCCTAATACTTGTGTTAACATGACCATGAATGATGTCTCTGATTTGTGTCCGCAGAAATCTTTCATCAGAGGCTCTTTCCATCAGGCAGCGAAGTGTTTTGGCATCAATAGTGGCAGGCAATGTGCAGCAAACAGTTTAACTGCAATTTTGATGTGTAAGGTTAAAAGTGTGTTGCGATGGACTCCGAGTCACCTGAATGATGTTCTGATGCTTGGAGATAAGCTGTACAGTGCCATGAGAGATGCTGGGAAAATCCACGATCATTTCAACGGTTTCATACAAATTGCTGAGCTGCCTGACACACACACACTGAATAATTGGTGTTTTTCAATAAAGTATGGAGAATCATTGTCAGGGTTGTTTGGTGTCAGTGAATATGATGAATGTCTGCAAGGCTTTGCCATGTCACTTGATGAAGCATTAAATCGAACATTCCAGAGGTATGATGCATGTTTGGTAAACATTGACCGGACCATATGTGCAGCTGTCAGACAAGGTTCGTGGTATGCAGTGATTGATCCACATGCTCGACTCAGTGATGGAACAGTTTACGGTCGTGGTAAGAGTGTAGTGGTTTTTCATCCCAGCATAGATGCTTTGGTCATTCATTTCAGGAGACTGGGTGCATCCATGAAAGCATATAATCATCCATTTGAGGTAACTGGAGTTCAAGCGAATATGGTTGACAAACGCAGTCAGCATGATCAACTGGTGAGGCAGGACAATACTGATGCAGAAAGAGTGAGTAAAGGTGTAGACTCAGAAATGGCAAGTTGTAGTCAGTCTTTGACTGATTTTATAAGCACAGATCAAATGCTTGTAAATGAACCATGTACACATGAGAACACAGGGAAGGCTTTTGATTGTTCAAGCAATGAAAATGCATCTGAGGTTGAACTTGTTTTACAAAATGACTGTGTTTCTTTGACTGACATCATAAGCACAGATCAAGCTGTGGATGAAACATATGCACAAAAGAAAACAATGTCTTTATGTCCAAGAAGTGAAAGCACAGCTGATGTTGAATTTATTTCACAAACTGACAGTGTTTCTTACCAGTTCAGTCCATTAACATTACAGCAACAAAAAAGTATTTGCTTGAAGCTGAACATTGTACATGTTGTAAAAGATCAAAACAATCCAGATGAGATTGTTCAAATGGCTGAACCTTGTAAAACTAAAGATATTGTAGGTGATGGTAACTGCTTTTTCAGATCAGTAGCTTATGCTGTTAGTAGCAGTGAACAAGAACACAGAAAACTGAGACGTGCTGTTGTAACACACATTCTCCAGAATGAAGGAAGGTACAGTCAATATCTGAGACAAGGACACAGTTCTGTTGTAAACTACATTGACAGTTCAAGAATGAAGTATGTCGGAACTTGGGCAACAGAGCTGGAAATACAAGCAACCAGTGATTTAATTGGTGTTGACATATTTACATACAGTCAAGATAAATGGCTTAAATATTCATCCTCAAATGTTTCAGTAAATCGACAGAGTTCTCAATCTAAGGGGATTTATTTGAAACATGTAAATACCTGTCACTATGAAGTTGTTGTTTGTGTAAAAAGAAAAGATCACAGCTGTGTTTCCAATTGTAAATCATCATTTGAAGCTTCAATGTGTCATGCATCATTAAATGCTAACTCAGACCCACGTAAACTTTATAGACAGAAAGTCCTATATAATAGCAATCAGGACTTTAAAGAGGAGAAAAGAATCAATGTAAACAAAAGATATCACGACGATGAAACTTACAAACGGAAACTACTGACATCCAGCACTGAAAAATACAAACAAAATGAACAGTTTCAACAAAAAGTAAAGAAAATTAGCACAGATAAATACAAGTCGAATTTTCTACATCAGCAGGCTGTGAAAGAATACAGTATACAAAAGTATGCCACAAATACCGCACACAAAGAGGCAGTCAAAAACTACAGTGTTGACAAATATAGCAACAATACCGCACACAAAGAGGCAGTCAAAAACTACAGTGTTGACAAATATAGCAACAATACCGCACACAAGGAGGCAGTCAAAAAGTTCAGTGTTGACAAATATAGCAACAATATTGAACACAAGGAGGCAGTCAAAAAGTTCAGTGTTGACAAATATAGCAACAATATTGAACACAAGGAGGCAGTCAAAAAGTCAGTGTTGACAAATATAGCAACAATATTGAACACAAGGAGGCAGTCAAAAAGTTCAGTGTTGACAAATATAGCAACAATATTGAACACAAGGAGGCAGTCAAAAATTTCAGTGTTGACAAATATAGCAACAATATTGAACACAAGGAGGCAGTTAAAAAGTTCAGTGTTGACAAATATAGCAACAATATTGAACACAAGGAGGCAGTCAAAAAGTTCAGTGTCGACAAATATAATGAAAATGGGATACACAAATCTAAGGTGATTGATTACAACAAAGAGAAATATAAAAATGATATTAGTTTTGTCAATAGTATTAAAATGAGAAATGCAGTAAAACGGTGTGAGGCAGAGATCAAAAGGAAAGAGTTTGACTGTGTGATTAAACAATTTAAAGAAAAAATATCTACTGGTCCTGATTATGTGTGTTCGGTTTGTCATCGCTGCTGCTTCAAAATGCAAGTGAAAAATTGCAATAAAAACAAATATTTTCAGATATCTGTTCATGCTGGCTATATTGCAGAAAAATGTATAACACTGAATTATTTGCACAAGTGTAATAGAAAGTGCAACAAAGATTGTGTTTATAAAAATACTCCAGCTGAATCTCTGTGGATTTGTCACACATGTGATAGAAAAATAAGTGAAGGTAAAATGCCTGCTGAAAGTGTAGCAAACAATCTTGCTCTGGATCCAATTCCTGATGAATTGAGTTCTTTAAATTCTCTTGAAGAACATCTAATAGCAAAGCATATTCCATTCATGAAGATGCTGGCATTGCCAAAAGGTGGACAAAACGGCATTCATGGTCCCGTAACTTGTGTTCCATCTAATGTCACTGATGTGGTGAATGTTTTACCAAGATCAGAAAATGATGATTTGATGATACGAATAAAGCTTAAGAGGAAATTAACGTACAAA